GGCTTCACGTGTTCCTTGCCTTTGATCGGTTCCATTTTCTTGTAAAAGTCGATTTTGTGAGATGCATCCTCGAATGTGATGATCCCCATCTTCGCGCGATTTCCGCCGGCTTCCACCTTGGCGGTGTGGCTGTCGCCCAACACTTCGGTGAGTATCGCCTCGATCTTGGCGATGATGATGTCCGGTTCCATACGCTCCTTGAAACCTAACGCGAGCACCTGCTTGTCCCTGATGTCGGATTCCGGCTCCTTGTGGTTCCTGCGGATGGTGGTTTTTGCACGCTGTATGTGCTCGACCTCCTTCTGCACTGTGGCCACAGTCTCGTTGGTCTTGTTGATATTGTCCTCTAGGCTGGCTATGGTCAGCGTCGTCTCGAGGGCAGCCTGCTTCGCGGATACCGCTTCGGTCTTCGCTTCCTGGGCGATGGCAAGGCTTGCATCAACCTTCGTGCTGAGGCCTCCCATCAGGCTCTTGAGCTCCGCAAACATTTCCTCAACTCTGTCCGGTTTGGGCTCGACTTTTGCCTTCTTGTGATCTTCGGGAGAGTTGCTCGATTGAGCGCCCTTTTTCATGATGCTTGGCACAAGATGTGTAGAGAGATGTAAAAGGAAAGGATGACAAAAGGGGGCGTGGCAAAAAGGGGGGTGGGTCTTGGTGTCTTGGGGTCTTGAGCCAAAATGGCTACGAGGAGGAGGAGGAGGAGGGGGAGGAGGAGGAGCAGGAGGAGCAGGAGGAGCAGGAGGAGGAGGTTGAGGCATGGCGTGGCGGCCGTGGCCCCCGCACTCTCGCTGCAGGCACCTTCTGGAGCCGGCGCGGCCCCCCCCGGCCGAGGCCGCGGGGCCCCGCGGCCCTCGCGGCCCCGCGGGCGGCCCCCCGGAGACGCGGCCGCCCCCGCCTGGCGACGGGTCGCCAAGTCTGCGCGATCGACGCCCTGGGCGGCGTATGCGCCGCCGCGCCTCTGGGCGCGGAGTGGGCGCGGGCGCCCCCTCGAGATCGCGGCCCGATCCCCTGGGCCGCCGCCCGCAGCCCTGACGCAGCTCCCGGGGGCCCGGACCCCAAAGTGCCAGATCTCCTGGGGCTTGGCGCGTGCCCCCGGGGCCTCGGAGCGTCTGCTCGCGTGACTTCTTCGGGCCCCAGAGGGCCCCAAGGCGGGCCCCGAGAGGCCCCCGACACGGTGCCAAAGGGCCGTGAGCCTCCGAACGACCGCTCCAAGGCGCCCAAAGACGCCCAGATGGCCCCAAGACGGCCTAAGAGGCCCCCAAGACGGTCCAAGAGGCCTCCAAGAGGCCTCCCAAGAGCGCCCCAATAGACCGAAATTATTGTTTTTCCCTTGGTGTTTGAAGCTTCAAGACGGCCCAAGAGGCTTCGAAGATCGCCCCAAGAGGCTCCCAAGAGGGTCCAAGAGGCGCCCATGACAACCCAAGAGGGCCCCAAGACGGTCCTAAGAAGGACCCAGAGAAGGACCACGAACCGAAAACTTGAGCCTTCCACCCCGAGAGGTCTTGAGGAGGCCCCACGAAGGCCCAACGAGGCCCCAAGAGGCACGCGAGAGTCCCCAAGAGGCCCCCAAACGGACCCCGAAACAATTCCCAAGAAGCCCCAAAACTGCTCCCCCAAAGCCCCCGAGAGCGCCCCGAAGAGACCCCATGAAGCACCCCTGAGGACTCTGACCCACAGTCTAGGCACAGTGGCGGGATGGGCCGAAGGGGTCCGCCGCCCCCTGTTGACTTGCCACAGGCTGGCGTGCTAGATCCTTTCGATGTTGGTTTTGGATCTTTTCCATAAGAACTCCCCCTGGGGTTTCGGCCGATCCCGCCAGGGTCCAGAAACGACCTCAACGACCGCAAAAATTCTCCAAGACGGCTCAAGATGGCATCTAAGATGGTCACGTTGGCCCAAGATGGCCTCCAAGATGGCCCAAAATTGCCTCCAAGTCCGCCCAAGATGGTCCAGGATGTCCCCAAGTAGGCCCAAGAGAGTCCAAGATGCCTTCAAGTTCGTCCAATAAGCCTCCAAGACGGCCCAAGATGGCTCCAGGATAGCCTAGGAATGCAAGGCCCCAAGAGGCCTCCAAGAGCTCCACCAGGAAGACCCGAAGAGGCCAGAATCATTGATTATCCTTCGGTGTTTGAATAATGTTGGCATTTTCTTCCCAACCCTCCTGTGTTGGGTACTCGTTTTGAATATAGCAGTGTGGTCTCAACCTCCTCCTCTCCTCGCCTCCTCCTTCTCTCCTGTTTCCTGTGTTCCCATCTCCTCTTCTCTCGTGCCGTCGGGCTGCGATCTGCGCAACTGCCGCCATTTTCGTGGGCTCCTGGGAGGCCCACTGGAGGTACGTCATACGCGGATCACCACGGGACCTCGCCGCCCCTGGGGGGCTGCGATCTGCGCAACTGTCGCCACTTTCGTGGGCTCCTGGGAGGCCCAGCGGAGGTACGTCATACGCGGATCACCACGGGACCTCGCCGTCTCAAGAATGCTGCGATCTGCGCAACTGTCGCCACTTTCGTGGGCTCCTGGGAGGCCCAGCGGAGGCTGCGATCTGCGCGACTGTCGCCACTTTTGTGGGCTCCTGGGAAGCCCAACGGAGGTACGTCATACGCGGATCACCACGGTACCTCGCCGCCCCCGGGGGGCTGCGATCTGCGCAACTGTCGCCACTTTCGTGGGCTCCTGGGAGGCCCACTGGAGGTACGTCATACGCGGATCACCACGGGACCTCGCCGCCCCTGGGGGGCTGCGATCTGCGCAACCGTCACCACTTTCGTGGGCTCCTGGGAGGCCCAGCGGAGGTACGTCACACGCGGATCACCACGGGACTTCTTGCTGCGCACTTCTGAAATCACTGCTGGGTGCTCTTCTTGCGCACTGCGGGGCCTTCAGAATGCCAGTCAGCATTGAGTGGTCCTGAGTAGAATCGCCACATGTATAGGAAGGGTTGGGTACGTCACAGGGTAATTAGTTTCAGCTCTCCGACGGCCCAAGACGGCCCAAGAGGCCCCCAACATCGCCCCAAGAGCGCCCAAGAGGCCTCCAAGATGGCCCCATGACAGGCCAAGAGGCCCCCAAGAGGGCCCCAACAAGACACCAAGACGGCCCAAGAGGCCCCCAAGACGCCCAAGATGGCCTCCAAGACGGCCACCTGGTCCGATGGCTCGCCCGACTCTGTGTTCCCCGAAAACTTTCGAAACCCACTTGGGGAACGCGTGGCCCGGTAGCTTGGCCAAGCTCAAACCCAACTTTCGGCCACGCAGGCGCTTGCAAAAAGGAAGGGGGCGGCGGTGATTCGCAATATGCGTCTTCAATAGTAAGGATCCACGATGAGGATGCAAGGGCCTCGGAAGATTTTGAAGGCCATGTCCAGACATTTCGAGCGGGGCGGGGCCAGAGAAAGTGGCCAACGATAGGCCGAAGAGAAAGGATGCAAGGGGAAACTTGGAAAATCGCTCATACTTACTATGCGCTTTGTCTGTACGGCAAGGTCATAACGTGCGGACTTCGGCGTTGGTTCCTGACAGCGCGGGGATCATTCGACCTTGCACGACTGGCCGTTTCCGAAACTTCAGATCGTGCAACATCGACCGTTTCTGCGTCGTCGAGGGCGTTCAACGTTGAACGCCCACGCTGAGGTCGCAGATTAACGACAGGACACGCACCAACTGTAGCATTCTCACGCCGTGCCTCACACCCCGATCCCATCACGTGTCGACTCAGACGAAACGTGCGCAACAAACGCTGGTACCAACTCCTGTCAGTCCCTCCGGACGAACACGCAATGCGTAACTCCTCACATGTGGCAATGGTTGCGAATCTGGAGCGCGTGACCGCATCAAGGGAATACAATGAAAACGTTGCTCCCAGCTGCTACATTCAGCAGTTTCGTTGACAAAGCATTTGCTTCATAAACGACGGCCGAGATTGGAAATCACACGCCAGGCGCGCGATTGGTGCCTCGGCGGAACGGTGCATGTGACATGTGACCAATGGCACCGCCTTCCGAAACCTAGCCACTCAACGCATCTGCCGCACGAGGCCCCAAAGGAGGTATCGGGAGGTGGGTTCGCAAGACCTTCAATGACTCCTTGGACACCTGTCTGGTATTTTCTACTGGCCTGTCGAACATCTTTCTGAGGATCTGGCGAATGCAAAACTTATGAGAACCCGACCTCTACGCCCCCTTGTTAGGGACTCGTTAATCGATATATGCAGTCCGGGTATCTGCCGGGACACATGCACGAGGACTCAACCAGACCCGCTCATCACTGCGTGCATGCGCACGGAGAGCGCATGGCTAGTCGGAAAGCTGTAGACGCTGGTGCTCCTGGCTTGGAAAAACAGCCAGCTGCATGGCCAGCGCCTCAAAACTTAAACACTTACTCCAGTCAATAGCCTACACCTAAGATGCATCGGGCTTGATGCCCTGTTCATTCCATGCAAAGCTTATGCGATGCTACCTGGTCTGCCATCCAGACCAGGAACGTGGTCACACATGCGGTAGCAACAAGACGGCAAGACCTCGGAAGCTCCTTCCTGGTATGACCTGGGCCACCAAGATTGACTCCCCGCTATATCTACGAATGTCCCTCCCCCGCCAGACCCTTTTCTCGTCACTTCAACCAGAAATCATGCGGGCGGCCGTGGTTGTATGGACGATGATGGCGCAACAATGAAGATCCAAATCGCCACAACTTCTTGCGAAAAGGCAAGGGACACCCGGATGGCCCGCCTCCGCTTCGCGATTTGCGGCGGGGTCGGTGGGAAAGTCTCCCTTGGGCCGTGGGGGGCAGGCCTGGCGCTCCGCCTCCAGCTGCAGATTGCCAAGGGTCCTCCTGCTGAGAGGCAGTCTGGCAACCAAAAATTGTCAAGTGGGCGCGCAGGCCAAACGCGCGGCCGTCCTTTCTGCCCCCCTCCATCGTCACCTGGGTCCTCCGCCTGCAAAAGGGCCGTACGTCCTGCGCACTCCCTCCACCCTCACTTCCTCGTTCTCTCTTTTCCCCGTGCCCGCCTCCCCCCGCGAAAAATCCGAAGCACCGAACAGGCCGCACTAGGCAAAGCTAGCCGCACGCGCTCAAGGTGCAGCAGACGACAAGGGGACAGAGGAGAGAGAATGGGACCGTCTTGGGCCCTCTCGGGACCCCGCCCCTCGTCGTCCACGTTGTCGTCCTTCGCCGTCGCCGTCGTCCTCGCCCTCGCCGCCGTCCTCGCCGTCCTCCTATAGTACTCGTCGTCCCCCTCCTCGTCCTCGCCCTCCTCGCCCTCGCTGCCCTCGTCGCCCTCGCTGCCGCCGCGGCTTCCGCCTTGACGTCTGGGCGAGGCCTGGCATAGGAGGGAGAAGGAGGAGGAAGAGGAGGAGAAAGATGGTGGAGGCTGGGGGAGGAGGAGGGAGGGGGGGAGGAGAGGAAGAGGAACAGCCAGGGGGGCGGGGCAAGAGGGGAGAGGGAAGGCGGCGGAAGAGGAGGACGAGGAGGAACGGAGGAACGGGAGCCCTCTGGTGGCATCGGACCTCCCTGGGGGCTCTCCCCAAGATTGGCCCCTCTTCCCGAGCCGTGCTCAAGCACTGCCCGGGGGCGTCGCCGTTGGCGTCGGCGGCGTTGGCGTTCACGACGCTCTGGACAGACATAGTGTGGGGGAACAGGAGTCCGCCACCGTGCCTCGAGGCACGAAAGTGGAACGTTCCCTGGGCTTCAAGGAGTTCTCTGCACTCACGATTCATGGCTGACCCAACAATTCAATTATTTCAGGCGCGCTCCCGCGCGTTCTCGGAGCTTCCCCGCACGACTTTTGCAGATGCTAGATGGTCTCAAAACGGACCGAGAGGGCCCCAAGAAGCGCCCAAGAGAGCGCAATGGGTCTCGAAGACGGCCCGACAGCACTCCGAGATGCCCAAGATGGACCACAGACGGCCCAAAAAGGCCTCCACGACGCTCCAAGAGGGCTTCAAGCGGCCCCCAAGATGGCCCAGAGATGTTCCATTCATTGATGTTTAAGTTATTTGTTGAACGAATTTACTGTTTTCGCCTTCTCTGGCTTTCGACGCTCCAAGCGGCCCAAAAGGCCCCAAATATCGACCCAAGACGGCACAAGATGCCTCTGAGAGCGCCCTAGGGCGGTCCAATACAGCCCCACGGCCCAAGAAACCTCCCAAGGTGGCCCAATAGATCTCCAAGAGGGGCTCAAGGGAGACCTGGGCCGGCACGGAAACGGAAAGAGCGCTTCAACAACTTGACCGAAATTACTCACACCACCGTTCGTACTGGGAGCCTTGGCGTTGAGAGCTTGTTACGTCACCCCTCGCTCTTGGGTGCCTTGGTGTTCAGAGATTGTTGCGTTGCCGCCCGTTCCTGAGCCTTGGCTGGGCCTAGGTGTCAGGAACTTGTTACGTCACCGCTCTCTGCTGGGAGCCTTGGCCTTGTCAGCTTGTTTACGTCATCGTTCGCTCTTGGGAGCCTTGGTGTGAAGAGCTTTTTGCGTTACCGATCGCTCTCTATTTGGCGTCTCTGGGCCTTCTTGGGAGTCCTATTGGGGCCCTTGTCGGGCCCGTTTGGAGGCCTCTTGGGAACCTCTTGGGGGCCTCTTGGGGCTTCTTGGGGGGCTCTGGGGGCCTCCTGGGAGCGTCTTGGGGCGAAAGACTAGACTTTTCGGTTCGTGGTCCCCCTCTTGGGGCCGTCTTGGGGCCCTCTTGGGCCGTCTTGGGCGCCTCTTGGGCCGTCTTGGCGCCCTCTTGGGGGCCTCTTGGGAGCCTCTTGGGCCGTCTTTGGGCGGTCTTGGCGGCCTCTTGGAGCGTCTTCAACGCAGTGAAAGCCGAAAAGCCTTGTATGCTAAAAATGTACCTTTTTCCAATCGTAAATCAATCATTTTCGCCTCCCGGTGGCCTCTTGGGACGCCTCTTGGGGGCCTCTTGGGGCTTCTTGGGGGGCTCTGGGGGCCTCCTGGGAGCGTCTTGGGGCGAAAGGCTAAACTTTTCGGTTCGTGGTCCCCCTCTTGGGGCCGTCTTGGCGCCCTCTTGGGCCGTCTTGAGCGCCTCTTGGGCCGTCTTGGGGCCGTCTTGGGCCGTTTTGGGGGCCTCTTGGGAGCCTCTTGGGCCGTCTTGGGGCGGTCTTGGGGGCCTCTTGGGCCGTCGTCAACGCCGTGAAAGACGACAAAGCGCACATGCTAAAAATATACGTTTTTCCATTGGGAAATCGATGATTTTGGCCTCTTGGAGTCCTCTTGGGACGCCCCTTGGGCGCCTCTTGGGGGCCTCTTGCGCCGTCTTGGGCGGTCTTGGGCTCTCTTGGAGCGCTCTTGGGCCGTCTTGGGGGGGAACCCGAAAAACATGCAAAACCCCATAGGAAAACCCGAAAACGGCCATTAGAGCCCAAATGGGCACGCTCCCCCCCTCCCCAGGAACCCCTCCCTTTAGGGCTTCGCCCACACCAGAAGTATCATTGAAGCCGGATTCAACCCAGTCCACGCGCCGCCAGGCTCGTCCTGGGCAGGCTGTGCTGCCCAGCGGAGGGGGAAGACGGGGGGAGAAGCAGACAGGCGACGACGAACGCGCAGGCAATAGGCTGGGGCCGGCCAGGCGGGCAGGCAGGCGGAAGGGGGGCCGGGCGGAGACAGCAGGCAAGAACAAGGAGGAAAGAGAGGGAAGCCAGGAAATGGAGAAGAGGGGAAACAACCGCAAGCTGGACTCGGGATTTTTCAAGATCGACAATTAAATTCAGGACTCCCCAAATTGACAAATTGAACTCGAAAAGCTAACTCCCGTCCTTCTCATTTTGAATATTGGCAGAACGTCATCATATTTTCATCGTTTGAATCAGGGATGGGGTGGGAGAGGGCAGCGGGCACAGAAAATGAGGTCCGCATTGGGAACCTTTTGCGAACGCGAATCCAAAACGCTCGCAGGAACCGTGCAGGGTCCCACACTTCACTGTTCCCCCCGCCTGACCCACCCTGCCCAGCTAGAGGCGATTGGGCTCCACACTCTCGAGTATTCTGCCCGCCTGACCCGCGGCCCCTTCGCCTTGTCCACACCTGCATCTCTGACCAGGCCTCTTGCCCTGCCAGCGGGCCTCGCCCCCGCCCGCCCGCCACGCCTTGCCTCGTTGGCCCCGCTCCGCACGACCACGCACGAGAGAGCCATGCTCTTTCATGTTCCGCCCCCCCCGCCCCGCCCTGCCCCATGGGGTTCGCTCTGCTTGACCGCGCGCGCGAGGAGAGAGTCCCACACTCTTCAGTGTCCTGCCCGCCCGCCGTGCCTCGTTCGCTCGCCCAGCTCCGCCCGACCACACGCGAGAGAAAAACCTGCACGTCACTGCCTCGCCCGCCCGGCCCGCCGCGCCCGTGGCCCCGCGCCGCCCGACCTCGCTCCAGAGACGACCCTGCGCGTTTATGCCCCGCCCGCCTGGCCCGCCTCGTTCGTTGGCCTGGCCCCGCCCGACTGCACGCCATAGCGAGCCCCACGCCGACGCGCCTCCTGTTTCGCCCGCCGACCCGCCCTGCCCCGTCGGCCCCGCTCCGCCCGACCACACGCGACAGAGGCACGACACTTCAATGCCCCGCTCGCCCGACTCGCCGCGCCCGTGGGCCGCGCGTCGCCTGGCCACGCCCGCGAAAGCCCTACACTTTTTTAAATCCCGACCGCCCGATCCGCCTCGTTCGTTGGCCCCGCTCCGCCCGACCACGCTCGAAAAAACCCAGCACTTCAACGTTTCGCCCGCCAGGCCCGCCGTGCCCCGTTGGCCCTGCCTCGAAGGAGCACAACACAGAAATGTCCCGCCCGTCCGACTTGCTCTGCTTCGTTCACTCGTCCGGTCGCAATCGAGCGGCACTGGACACGACACCTTGATGTTCCGCCCGCCTGGCCCGTGTCACCCGTTTACCATGTCGCCCGTTAACACGACTTCGCCTGACCATCCGCGAAGAAGATCGCGCACTTTAGTGTCCCCCCGTTCCGCCTCGTTGGCCCTGCCTCGAAAGAGCTGTAGTCTCTGATGTCCCTGTCGCCCGACTCTCCCACAACCCGGCTCGCCCCACAGTAAGACATGAAGTACACATGCGCTGGGATTGGACATCGGCAAACCAACAACGTCAATCCGGATTTCTGTGTTGGGTCCCCCGTCTTGGACGCAGCATCGTGGTCTCCACGCTTCCACTGTTCCCCCCCCCTCCTCTTACCTCCTTCTGCTCCGTTCCCTGGGTGGATGCGGGTTCTTGAAACGACCAGCGGAAAAGGGCCGCGAGCCCTGAAGTGGCTTCGCTGCTCCGTGGTTGACCGCGAACCACGCAATCTTCATCATTTCCGTTGGCTCCTGGGGGCACGCGCACCTGGACGGGACCTCGTTGCTCCATGGGTGGTTGCGAACTGCGCACTTGTCACCATTCTCGTGGGCTCCTGGGAGGTCCAACGGAATCGGGAGGGGGGCACGTGCACCCACACGGGACCTCACTGTTCCTTGGGTGGCTGCGACTTGCCAAAATTGTCATCACTTTTGTGGTTCCTGGGAAGTCCAGCGGAAATCGGTCGGGGGGCACGCGCACCCAAACGTGACCTCGCTGCTCCCTGGGCGACGGAAAATTGCGCAACTGTCATCACTGTCGTTGCCCATTACGGGATGCTACGAAATCCGGGGCCACCGGCGCCTAAACGGGACCCCGCTACTCCTTGTGACCGCGCGCGCTGCGCCAGGAAGGTTTTGAATTGGGGGGCGCGCGCGCCCGAGCGGGACCTCGATGCTCCCTGGGTGGCTGCGAGCTGCGCAACCTTTGCCGCCATCGCGGGCTCCTGAAGCGACCAGCGGAGTCAGGGGCCACGCGCATAGGATCCAGCGGAATCGGGGGGGGGGAGGAGGCACGCGCAACCAGATGGGAAATCGCCGCGCCTTTGGTGGCTGCGAACTATGTGTTTGTCATCAGTTTCGTGGGCTCCTGGGAAATCTAGCGGAAATCGGGGGGCACGAGCACCCAAACGTGATCTCGCTGCTCCCTGGGTGACGGAGAATTGCACAAACTGTCGCCACTTTCGTGGGCTCGTGGGCTTCTGGGAAGTCCGGCAGATTCGGGGGGCACGCGCGCCCAGAAGGGACCTTGCTGCTCCCAGGGTAGCTGACATCAGTCAGCACGCGGCGCTGTT